CAACAGTAGCATCTTTCGCTGCAATCGCAGCGGCAACTTTATGATCATCTTTCGAACCGTCAGTATAAAACAACTGAAAGTCCTTATATTTTAACTGCAGTTTTGAGAAATTTGAACGATACAAGTAAGATTCGGTGTCAGATTTTGATGTCTCATGAAGTGAGAGATCAACCTCCGGTGATACTAGAAGCCACGGAAGAATATCAATCGTTGCAAATGATTGGATTGTGTCGATACTAATTTGTGCATTTTTCAGAAGGGATGACATTCGAATACCAAAGGTTGGAATACAGTTTGGTCTATTTTGAAATAGAATATGTACTTTGGATTGACTTTAATTGGACTGCATACTGCAATGATAATTTCTTCCGGCGATTATATAATGATAGTTCGTGTGCTTCGACGTAATGTTGAGCCTCCTGATTTTCTGTTTATTGGAGATTGAGATCTACATGTGTTCTTTCTCCCTTCACTTTGCTTTGTCTGCAATAATGTCCACGGAACAGTCTGTACATGGCCCTGTCTATTGCGAAGATGTTATACCAGTACAAACAAACCAAACCAAAGCAGGTGCAGGTCAAAGAGTGACAAATTAGATCGGCACTTTTATAACTAAAGTGTTGACAAGTCTAACGCTCCAAAATACTCACTTTTTGTCTACAGATGTTTCTTTCGAACATAGAATTCTGTATCATTATTCTATAATTGTACGCGTTGAATAAATATAAACGGGTGTTGGAAACTAAAACTCCAGACACCAATGAATGGCGAGGAAGGCTATAACCCTAGAAGTCAATTGAGTTGCGTTGAAAGCTAAAAAGTCTTTGGTTTGGTTTAGTATTGTTTAACGTCCTATCAACAGCTATGATCATTTATGGACGGCCTCCCCTATGTGCAAGACGCATGCGTGAAGTGTATGCGTGTGTGTTTTGGGAGGCTGCGATATGTTCGTATTTGTCTCCTTATGATAGCGCGGAACTGATGTCGACTTTATATATAGTGCTACCTCACTGAAACATACTGCCAAAGACACCCAGCAGGACACTCCACCCGAACACATTATACTGACAACGAGCGAACCAGTCGTCTCACTCCTTAATTGCTGAGCGTTAAGCCGGAGTAGAAACTACCATTTTTACAGACTCTGGTATGTCTCGGCCAGGGAAAAGAACCCAAAGCCTTCCTCACAGGGGCGAACACTCAACTAAAGGCCAAAAGTGAGGCGTTGCCAAGGTAGACATTAGACCTAATGAGTGTCTATGAAAAATAAAAAGGGAGATAGAAACAAATAAAAATAGGAGATATGAAATGGTATAGTTAAAAATGCCATGCATCAAATAGTATGCATTTTCAGACAACCAAGTCAAATTCGTGTTGTAGTAGGTTCACAGATCCATCAACAGGAAATCGAGATATACCCAATATATAGCATACGTTGCATTATCTCGGGCAGTGTTTCCTCGTGAAACCTGATGTCTCTAGTGATATTCAAACATCAAAGGAAAGCTGACCACTTAATACATATTTTACGTTGGTTGTTGATGTATATATTGACTTTTTCCTTTACGTTATTTAGAGTACACTTTGCGATTATCTGATTAAAATCACATTATATTCATCAACAAAATATGTTGAAAGAAATAATTATTATAACGTAAATAACTTTTTGTTTTGCAAATGTAAAGATGTCATCCTATTATTACCTGTAAGCAGTGTCAATAATAAGACAGTTAAGGTAGAAAATAAGCAGTAAATAGCGATAAACAAGAGATCCCAGAGGGATCTTGGCGCCCACCATTGTACCATCTTGATGAGTTCTTTGTCAGTGCGATCTGAGGGATCAAGGGACGTACCTATCAAATTTGAGACAGATCCCTCAAGTTATTCCTGAGAAATAGTACTAACAAACCTTCAATTTCAAAAATCCAAGAAGATGTCTGTCGGTCGGCCATTTTGTCTATCTGATCAGTTTCAAAAGTTATCAAGAACAATAAAGGATAGTGGGGAACCTGCATAAAGAAGTTGAGAAAGAACCCTCTAGTACTCCCTGGAAAATAGCACTAACAAATCTTAACTGTCAACATCGAAGATTTGTTTATCTGATCTGTCTCATACGAAACAGCATACCAAGGGGATCCTACATGAAATATTTAAGAAAGATCTCTCCAGTACTTAATGAGTAATAGCCATAACAAACATTCACTATCAAAAACCATGCAAAACTCAAGAACAAGGGGAACCTTCATATATAATTTGAGAAAGATCCCTCTGGTACTTCCTGAGAAATAGCCATTACAAACCTTCACTATCTAAATCAAAGATGGATGCCTGTCAGCAATGTTGTTTCTCCGATCAGTCATAAAAGTTGCCCTACACAACTAGAGGAAACCTACATATTAAATTTGAGAAAGTTCCCTTTGGTACTTTCTGAGAAATAGTGATAACAAACCATGTTGTTTATCCGATCATTTTCCAAAGTTGCCCTGCACAGCTATGAACCAAGGAGAACCTACATATACAATTTGAGAAAAAATCCTCTGGTACTGCCTGGGAAATAGCGATAACAATAATTGTTTAAGGTCGGACGACGGACGCTGGGCTATTTGAATAGCCCACCATCATCTGATGGTGGGCTAAAAAGTTACACTTGTGAAAATATTTACTTAATAGATTTAACATTCATTTACCTCAATTATTGCTTTTCTGCCACCATTTTGTATACTGCATTGCTTACATTTCATTCGTGATCTAAAAGATGACATTTCGTAATCCAATCCGTCTCCATATACATGTATTTTAGAAGGAGATGACCTGGAGTTGTCACATTACACCAAAAAAACAAACCTCTTAATATATAACATACTGTTCACTTTATAACTAAACACAAAATAAACGTCCGTTAAAGTGCTCCATTTTGTATTGCGCTGTTTTTGTTGTCAGTGTTATTTTCTGGGTTACCGTTACCACTAGTTAAATGCAACTTCAACAAACACAATAAGTTGATCTATATTAATCTTTATTTACAAATCAATATGAAAGTAAACTATTTCAAAATAAATTCGCACTCAATTTACAAACAGTGTTTCGTTTAACTACATCAATATATATCTATAATATAGCAAACTCGTGCCGACATTAAAAGTATAATATATTTAAATTCTGTTACGTACAAAACGTCGATACTCGCAAATGATGCTTTACTAAGCGTGCTGTTGATAACGAGTAGGTCAACCTAGCCATAGTCCCTGCTGAGTTTGAGTCAGTACCAGCAGGTCAACTGATAATTTGGATTAAGCTGTTGATTGGAGGATGTGGTACAATCACTTACAGCCAGTGGTCATATTGGATGTGATAATTCTTTGTTAGTAGATTCTTTAGTAGTACAATGCACTGCAGTCGGTACCACACGCGATAATTGAAAATGTGAATTACCAATATGGCAGTTCATCTTGAAACACACTGAAGGCAATTGGATATATTTGTATTTCTAATTATAAAGTCCTCTCCTATGGTATAAACAATGAATATTATGATATATTTATTGTGAAATGATTTAAAAGTTTTTTCTACATCTAGGACAAAAGTCATCGACCAGAGCTCCCACGAAGTGCCTTGTTAATTTAAGTTATTTTAGTCATATATGCGTTATGGGAGTTCTCTAAGTGGAGATATAATTGGCAAGTTGATTCTGGGTCACCACGTGGATCGCGAAGCCATTATCATTATATCCCCAATGTAGTAAGTCTGTTCCCTAGTCAGTCTCTGTTCCCTAGTCAGTCTCTGTCCCCGTCCGTTCGTGAAACCACAGATGGCCAGCATGGTACATGGTAGACATAGGTCACGGCCTCGTCCCCATTTATCACACTGACGTCCAACGGTCCCACTGGCAGGATGTACAAAATATACAAAACAAAACTTAACTTATTATCTTTTATCTCACCTGCCCGAAGGGCAAGTGAGCTTATGCCATGGCGCAGCGTCCGTCGTTCGTCCGTCAACTTTTCCTTTAAAACGCTACTTGTCCTGAACGGCCCAATAGATTTGGTCTGGAGCATCCTTAGGCCAAAGGGGGCTTACTTTTATATAAATGGTTAGTCTGGCCCCCGAGGTGGCTGAGGTGCGGTACCAAATAGGGGAAATATAGCAAATTCTTTAAATCCTTCTTATTCTGTAGGAATGACAGGATTTGTTCCATATTTGGTCAGAAGCATCCTTGGAGAAAGGGGATTTTTTTGTATAAATGGTGGGTCTGGTCCTCCGGGAGGCTGAGGGGCGGGGCTTAATAGGGGAAATATAGCAAATTCTTTAAAATCGTTCTTCTTCTGTAGGAATGAAGGATTTGGTCCATATTTGGTGTGGATCATTCTTGGATAAAAGGGAACCATGTTTGTATGAATGGTGGGTGTGACCCCCCTGGGGCCTGAGGGGCGGGGCTCAATAGGGGAAATATACCAAATTCTTTAAAATCCTTCTTCTTCTGAAGGAATGAAAGGATTTGTTCCATATTTGGTGTGGATCATTCATGGAAACAGGGGAACAAATTTTGTATAAATGGTGGGTCTGGCCCCCCTGGAGGCTGAAGGGCAGGGCCCAATAGGGTAAATAGAGCAAATTCTTTAAAATCCTTCTTCTACCATAGGGATTAAGTGATTTTATACAATCAGTTTATTTTATATAATTCCTCTATCATAATACTAACATAACAATTTCTTGTATTATTATTAAATTAAAATCAGTTACAAGCTTATTGCATAGTTTTCATTTCCCCAAATGAACCCCAAAGGCACCATTTTTATGAATCATTACAGTGTAATAGCGAGCTGGGGCCGGTAGGGGACATGTATTGCTTTAGCAATACTCAGTATGCTTGTTTAGTCTGGACCATCCTTGGGCCAACGGGACTCAATTTTACTTCATACCAATTATTTTAAACATATTCAGGTGAGCGATACAGGCCCTCTGGACCTCTTGTTCATAAATGTAATTAATATGGTCTCTCCAGCCAGCTAAGTAATTAAATAAAAGACCTAAATGTTTATGTTGTTTTACATTACTTATTACTCATGATATTACTTATGATAGTGTTATTGAAAATAAGGTTTGGATGAGAAATAGTTGCATTGTGGTTTTTTAATGACTATTAATGATTCAATTTTGTTATGATTAAATAGTATTCCCCATTTCTCTGCCCAGTTTGAAATATTTCCAAGGTCTTAGTTAAGTTGGATAGCTACCTGAATAGAATCATTGTTAATCAAAGCATATACATGTAATGATGTGTCATCAGCGAATAACTTAGTAACACATGTGTACCGATGGTAATAACGATATGTTGACAACGTTCTCACAAAGGAGCGGTATTGGACTGTCTAAATTAAGTTTTAACTGTTGTCTCAGACTTTTCGCCTGCGTTTCAGACTTTTCCTGCATGCGGTTGCTGGATTTGATGGTAATACGTGCCCAGGTCTGCTAATAGGAAGGCTGCCGTAAGAGCTGCCAGGATACTGATAAAGACGTACCCAATAACTGCACAACTCGTCCTGTCGTCAGACGCACTATGAAGACTACGTTTGTACTTAGATGTGCTCTTCCTGTCCAGTCGCAGTGTTTTCTCCAGTTCCTTCGTTAGCTTGTCTAAGTCAACCTGAATGACCTCGGTAGACGTTGTGGAAGTGCTGACCGCTATAAATGTAACATATTTGTAAGTTGTGAATATTTCGCTAAGCATACATCAATATCAGTAATACACATACGGGATTTCTGCTTATTTCGGTATAATGTCATTTCTAAAGAATTATGTGAGAAAATTAAAACGAACATAAAGAAATTAACTAGTTTTACAACTTAAATATTCGATTTTCTGTTTAACAAGACATATTGATGAATACTCGGACTCTCCCATTATCTCCCGATCATACATTTCATTTGACATTTTTTTTCTTGATTATTTCATCGACATTATCTTACCAGGCTCCGCTTTTTCACAGGAAAGTGATTCAGAGTTGGGACCAGAGCAGTAGCTGCCCCCTGTACACGTGCGGTTCCGCGTCTGAATGCAGTCTCCCCAAGTACTCCATTCAGCCCAGTCGTTGCTTGCGTTATCCTCTTTCGTGCCTGTATTTGAACATTAGAGATTGACTATATTTACCATTATCTTGCGGGGTAGTTTAAGATGAAGAGACAATTGCATATTTGGATGAACCATGAAGACATTCATAAATGAAAAGTACACACTAAAGTATATTATTCAAAATAGATAAAAAGGCGAAATACCGAAAAACACAGAGTGAGATGAAGTCCAACTGTATATCCTAATATCTTTAAATGACATTAGTTGTTAATAGGATGTTAACCAAAATAAACAGAAACAATGATAGTCGAATAGTTCATCACAGTCAATACCGAAGCCAATTGGTCGCGAGGAATATCTGCTGATGCAGTACGAATTTCGAGATGGAACGTTCAGAGCTTTATTGTTTGTAGTACAGGTCGTTTATCTGATGATGATTAAAGGCTTTGTTTTGTTTTGTTTTTGTATCGCTTCACGACCCACCGACAATGCGAGCCAAACAAAACTTTAAAATAGACATTCACAAAAATGAGTACAACAAACTAGAAATAAAAACGTTAAAAAAGAGTACAAATATAAACATATATCACCAGGGAACGAAATAGTTGTAAAATCGATCAGATTTTATTATAAAGATCAATTGAGTGTAAATAATCACATATTGCTGGAACAGAAACTGTATCAAATACACTTTTCATACACGATACATTCAGGAATATGTGGCTTTTTTTTTTAAATCAGCGCATTCAATCATAAAATGTTTGACTGTAAATGGCTGATCACATGTATGACTTTAAGGTTGGTCCTCTTTATTAAGGGGAACAAAATAGAATTGTACGCAACACATTTTTGACATGCACAATATTATTTTCTACATTAAATATCTCGAGCGTTCGACATATCATTTCGAGCCAGCGCTCTACTTAGGCTTTGTGAAAAACAAACACGTATATGTTTATATTGCAATATTTTATGCAGTCATCTTTTCCAATGTTTGTTTATTGATTTATCCGGTTATTTCTATATTGGATGTAAAAAGACTTAGATTTTGCTAAATACAGTGTAACAATGGATTAGATTTTTCATTGTTCTACACAAGGGGGAAATACAAATGTGTTGATGGTTCTAAACACGGGGGTAATACAAATGTGTTATTGGTTCTATACACAGGGGTACTACAAATGTGTTGGTGGTTCTACACACGGGGGTAACAGACAATGTAATGGTGGTTCTACATACAGGGGTTATTCACATTGTGTTATTGGTTCTAAACACAGGGGTAGTAAAGTGAGGTGGTTATACACTCTAAGGATGTACATACTGGGTTGGTGGTTCTACACACAGGGCTAGCAGACACTGTCGTGGTGGTTCTACACACGGTGGCAATACAAATGTGTTGGTGGTTCTACACACGGGGGTAACAGACAATGTGTTGGTGGTTCTACACACGGGGAAGTAAAATGTGTTGGTGGTTCTTCACACGGGTTAACAGATAATGTGTTGATGGTTCTACATACAGGGGGATCAGACAATGTGTTGCTGGTTCTACATCTACATACAGGGGTAATTCACAATGTATTGGTGGTTCTACATACAGGGGTTATTCACATTGTGTTATTGGTTCTAAACACAGGGCTAACAGACACTGTCGTGGTGGTTCTACACACGGGGGTAACAGACAATGTGTGTTATTGGTTCTACACACGGGGGAATACAAATGTGCTGGTGGCTTTAAACACGGGGGTTATACAAATGTGTTTGTGGTTCTACACACGGGGGTTATACAAATGTGTTTGTGGTTCTACACACGGGGGTTACAGACAATGTGTGCGTGGTTCTACACACGGGGGTTATACAGATGTGTTGGTGGTTCTACACTCGGGGGTAACAGACAATGTGTGTTATTGGTTCTACACACGGGGTAATACAAATGTGCGGGTGGCTTTACACACGGGGGTTATACAAATGTGTTGGTGGTTCTACACACGGGGGTAATACAAATGTGCTGGTGGCTTTACACACGGGGGTTATACAAATGTGTTGGTGGTTCTATACACAGGGGTAGTAAAGTGAGGAGGTTATACACTCTAAGGATGTACATACTGTGTTGGTGGTTCTACACACAGGGCTAACAGACACTGTCGTGGTGATTCTACACACGGTGGCAATACAAATGTGTTGGTTGTTCTGCATAGAGGGGTAATACAAATGTGCTGGTGGCTCTACACACGAGGGTAATACAAATGTGTTATTGGTTCTACACACGGGGGTTATACAAATGTGTTGGTGGTTCTACACACGGGGGTTATACAAATGTGTTTGTGGTTCTACACACGGGGGTTACAGACAATGTGTGCGTGGTTCTACACACGGGGGTAATAGACAATGTATTGGTTGTTCTACATAGAGGGGTAATACAAATGTGTTGGTTGTTCTACACACGGGGGTAATACAAATGTGTTGGTGATTCTACACACGTGGGTTACAGAAAATGTGTTATTAGTTCTATACACAGGGGTAGTAAAATGAGGTGGTTGTACCCTTTTAGGATGTACATAATGTGTTGGTTGTTCTACACACGGGGGTAACAGACAATGTGTTGGTGGTTCTACACACGGGGTAACAGACAATGTGTTGGTGGTTCTACATACAGGGGTAATACAAATATGTTGGTTGTTCTACACTCGGGGGTAACAGACAATGTGTGTTATTGGTTCTATACACAGGGGTACTAAAGTGAAGTGGTTGTACACTCTTAGGATGTACACAATATGCTGGTGGTTCTACACACGGGGGTAACAGACAATATGTCGGTGGTTCTACACACGAGGGTAACATACAATGTGTTGGTGGTTCTACTCACGGGGGTATCAGACAATGTGTTGGTGGTTCTACACACGGGAGTAATAAAATGTGTTGGTGGTTCTACACACGGGGGTAACAGAAAATGTGTTGGTGGTTCTAAACACGGGGGTAATACAAATGTGTTATTGGTTCTATACACAGGGGTACTACACATGTGTTGGTGGTTCTACACACGGGGGTAACAGACAATGTAATGGTGGTTCTACATACAGGGGTAATACAAATGTGTTGGTGGTTCTACACACGGGGTAATACAAATGTGCTGGTGGCTCTACACACGAGGGTAATACAAATGTGTTATTGGTTCTATACACAGGGGTACTACACATGTGTTGGTGGTTCTACACACGGGGGTGACAGACAATGTAATGGTGGTTCTACATACAGGGGTAATACAAATGTGTTGGTGGTTCTACACACGGGGGTAATACAAATGTGTTACAATGTGTTGGTGGTTCTACATACAGGGGTAATACAAATATGTTGGTTGTTCTACACTCGGGGGTAACAGACAATGTGTGTTATTGGTTCTATACACAGGGGTACTAAAGTGAAGTGGTTGTACACTCTTAGGATGTACACAATATGCTGGTGGTTCTACACACGGGGGTAACAGACAATATGTCGGTGGTTCTACACACGAGGGTAACATACAATGTGTTGGTGGTTCTACTCACGGGGGTATCAGACAATGTGTTGGTGGTTCTACACACGGGAGTAATAAGTTGGTGGTTCTACACACGGGGAAGTAAAATGTGTTGGTGGTTCTTCACACGGGGTAACAGATAATGTGTTGATGGTTCTACATACAGGGGTATCAGACAATGTGTTGCTGGTTCTACATCTACATACAGGGGTAATTCATAATGTATTCGTGGTTCTACATACAGGGGTTATTCACATTGTGTTATTGGTTCTAAACACAGGGGTAGTAAAGTGAGGAGGTTATACAACAAATGTGTTGGTGGTTCTACACACGGGGTAACAGACACTGTGTTGGTGGTTCTACACACAGGGCTAACAGACAATGTCGTGGTGGTTCTACACACGGGGGTTATACAAATGTGTTGGTGGTTCTACCCACGGGGGTTATACAAATGTGTTTGTGGTTCAACACACGGTCTAAGGATGTACATACTGTGTTGGTGGTTCTACACACGGTGGCAATAAAAATGTGTTGGTGGTTCTACACACAGGGCTACCAGACACTGTCGTGGTGGTTCTACCCACGGTGGCAATACAAATGTGTTGGTGGTCCTACACACGGGGGTAATACAAATGTGCTGGTGGCTCTACACACGGGAGTTATACAAATGTGTTGGTGGTTCTATACACAGGGGTAGTAAAGTGAGGAGGTTATACACTCTAAGGATGTACATACTGTGTTGGTGGTTCTACACACAGGACTAACAGACACTGTCGTGGTGATTCTACACACGGTGGCAATACAAATGTGTTGGTGGTTCTACACACGGGGGTAATACAAATGTGCTGGTGGCTCTACACACGAGGGTAATACAAATGTGTTATTGGTTCTACACACGGGGGTTATACAAATGTGTTGGTGGTTCTACACACGGGGGTTATACAAATGTGTTTGTGGTTCTACACACGGGGGTTACAGACAATGTGTGCGTGGTTCTACACACGGGGGTAATAGACAATGTATTGGTTGTTCTACATAGAGGGGTAATACAAATGTGTTGGTTGTTCTACACACGGGGGTAATACAAATGTGTTGGTGATTCTACACACGTGGGTTACAGAAAATGTGTTATTAGTTCTATACACAGGGGTAGTAAAATGAGGTGGTTGTACCCTTTTAGGATGTACATAATGTGTTGGTTGTTCTACACACGGGGGTAACAGACAATGTGTTGGTGGTTCTACACACGGGGTAACAGACAATGTGTTGGTGGTTCTACATACAGGGGTAATACAAATATGTTGGTTGTTCTACACTCGGGGGTAACAGACAATGTGTGTTATTGGTTCTATACACAGGGGTACTAAAGTGAAGTGGTTGTACACTCTTAGGATGTACACAATATGTTGGTGGTTCTACACACGGGGGTAACAGACAATATGTCGGTGGTTCTACACACGAGGGTAACATACAATGTGTTGGTGGTTCTACTCACGGGGGTATCAGACAATGTGTTGGTGGTTCTACACACGGGAGTAATAAAATGTGTTGGTGGTTCTACACACGGGGGTAACAGAAAATGTGTTGGTGGTTCTAAATACAGGGGTAATTCACAATGTGTTGGTGGTTCTACACACGGAGTAACAGACAATGTGTTGGTGGTTCTACATACAGGGGTAATACAAATATGTTGGTTGTTCTACACTCGTGGGTAATACAAATGTGTTGGTGATTCTACACACGGGGGTAACAGACAATGTGTGTTATTGGTTCTATACACAGGGGTACTAAAGTGAAGTGGTTGTACACTCTTAGGATGTACACACTGTGTTGGTGGTTCTACACACGGGGTAACAGACAATATGTCGGTGGTTCTACACACGAGGGTAACATACAATGTGTTGGTGGTTCTACTCACGGGGGTATCAGACAATGTGTTGGTGGTTCTACACACGGGAGTAATAAAATGTGTTGGTGGTTCTACACACGGGGGTAACAAAAAATGTGTTGGTGGTTCTAAATACAGGGGTAATTCACAATGTGTTGGTGGTTCTACACACGGGGGTAACAGACAATGTATTTGTGGTTCTACATACAGGGGTAATACAAATGTGTTATTGGTTCTATACACAGGGGTAGTAAAGTGAGGAGGTTATACACTCTAAGGATGTTCATACTGTGTTGATGGTTCTACACACAGGGCTAACAGACAATGTCGTGGTGGTTCTACACACGGGGGTAATACAAATGTGTTTGTGGTTCAACACACGGGGGTAATACAAATGTGTTGGTGGTTCTACACCCGGGGGTAATACAAATGTGTTGTTGGTTCTACACACGAGGGTAATACAAATGTGTTGGTGGTTGTACACATAGGACTAGTACTATTTATATTAAACTCTATAAAAGAGGTAGTAAAAAGGGGGTTTACACACAGGGGTAAAGCATCATGCGATAAGGGTTGTACACATAGGGGTAATACACGTATGTTGGTGGTTCTTCTGACAGGAGTAATACACGTATGTTGGTGGTTCTTCTGACAGGAGTAATACACGTATGTTGGTGGTTCTTCTGACAGGAGTTATACACGTATGTTGGTGGTTCTTCTGACAGGAGTTATACACGTATATTGGTGGTTCTACATTCAGGTGTAATACACGTTTGTTGGTGGTTCTTCTGACAGGAGTAATACACAATGTGATGATGGTTGTACACATGGGGGTAATACAAACGTATCAGTGGTTCTACACATAGGGGTTATACACTATAGGTTGGTGGTAAAAATAGAAGTAATACAAAATTGGCAAAAGACGCAAACTTAATACAAGAAAGTATCTAGTTATAGCATTGGGGTGGTATACAATGTATGTTTAGTTATGAAGGAGTACAATGATAAGATGGTTTTATAATATAGGTTATACAAAATGGATGACAAGGGTATTATACTGTGTGTGGATGGTACTAAACACAGGTGTAATACAACGTGTATGTTCTATGTATTGGGGACTATCAGTTGGGTTGGTTTCATTTTGTTTAACGTCCTATTAACAGCTAAGGTAATGTAAGGACGTACCTCCATGTGTGTTGTGTATGCGTGTGTCGAAGACAGGGTATGTTGGTGTATTTGTCTTCTTACTTATTTCACGTAATCTTACGACCCTACGAGTCATAGACTTTGGCTATCATGTTGTTATTACATTGTTTTGTCAAGAATGATGAACATATAGTGAAAATAAGACAAACAGATGTTTATGCCTATAAAAGAAACAGACAAACCGAACAATGCCTGTGCACAGTCCTCGTCCACTTTATCGTCCCCATCTTCGTCTGTAATGTATAAACATGTAAAAACCAAATTGGGAACAAATACAGAGTAAAGTCTGTTCTAATATCACATGCGTGTTTCTTGCGTTCATCTATCATTAATCAAATCAAATTCGATTTCGAGCTACTACTCAAGTTCCTAAGAAAACAGACGGATTGGTAGATGCGTTTTGTAGTCATAAGTCATAACTTAGTCGTTAATTCCTACTGCATAACATTTCACACTCACCATCATAATCGGGCCCTCTGAACCATTAACTCTTTCCTATACATTAAACACTATTTCCATATAGGTAACCATCAATATCTAAAAAAATGCACAATCTGGCCATACAACTACAAAACATCAACAAATGTTCCCAAGAATCTGTTTTTCTCAAATATGGTCATCCTTAGACGAGATCTATATCATTTACGGTATTTCTAACATAAGTCATATGTTATTTTAGGAGCGTTTAATGTAGATTCGTATCATCCGTTTTGATATGACGTCATTGTGAAACAATAACAAGGGTTCATAACAGTTTTCTGTGCGTTTGAACTCTTATAGATGCTTCAAATTTCACTCAAAATTACCCATTGAAGAGAGTGAACGGTTTCACGTGATTTCCATGTAATGCTAAATAATACAGACCTTGCCCAGCATAGGTACCAGTACATAGCTCCTCGTCTATCAGGCCGTCACAGTCGTTGTCTAGTCCGTCTCCGATCTCGTCTACTGTTACGTTACACGCCTGTGAAAGCAAACATTACGCTTTAGGTTAAAACTTTAAGAAATGTCAGTTATGGTTTTACATTGTTGAACGTCTGTTACGGCACGATTTCTCCCCCCGACACGATTTCTCACCCGTGTGAGAAATCGTGTAAGGAGTAGGCATATTATCCGGTCTCATGATTTTGGGCGATTGTGGTATACTACATGTAAGGCTGTTTTATAAAGGGACTATTTCCAGCTATGTTAAAATTACATAGGAGCCTGTCCCCTCATAAAGGAAGGGTGTCTATAAGGCCCTTTTTTGGCCCCGGTATATTCGGATATTCACCTCCTCATTTTGTTCAAAGATGTCCTATTATTGTATGACATGCGGAAAAACTAGTGGTAAAACTTTGACCGAAAGTGGGTTTCTGGGAGTACCAAAAGGGGTATGGTAAATCACAAATATAGTTTGTTGTTTTCAAAATGAGTTCAAAAACAAAAATAATACCATTTCTGATTTTGAAAACATGTATAAATTAGACAAGCCTATGTAACGGATGAAAAATGACAGAAATTCAATTGTCAATTAAAGATTGTTTATATAAAACGAAGGATTACGTCAGGGGGGTATTTTCGGTCATTTTCAATTGAAAAGTAATTTATACATGTTTTCAAAATCAGAAATGGTATTATTTTTGTTTTTAAGCTCATTTTGAAAACAGCAAACTATATTTGTGATTTACCATACCCCTTTTGGTACTCCCAGAAACCCACTTTCGGTCAAAGTTTTACCACTAGTTTTTCCGCATGTCATACAATAGGACATCTTTGAACAAAATAAGGAGGTGAAAATCCGAATATACCGGGGCCCAAAAAAGGGCCTTATAGACACCCTTCCTTTGACTTCGTGTTGTTATCAATTCGGTATTCCCATCTAATCAATAGCTTATATTCCTCATTATACGTTGATAAGTAGATTGTCCAGGCTTATTTCGGATTCGTAGTAATATACATTATGCATATGTTCCTACAGGACATTCTCAGAGCTAAGCGTTTATCCGTTGTTTATCCGAGGTAAAGTGAAAATTCATCGCGCTTTTTTGTTCCTCTCTGAATGCGTGTGTAATCAGTAAGGAGTTATCGCTTCACTATTGATGCTTTTGTAATTCATATAGCAAACATTTCTTCCAAATTAAATGATGTATGGATTGCAGTTTCTTAACAGAGAAAAGATAATTTTAAAAAGTAAAGAAACCGTTTTGTTATTGTTGTAAAAGAAAATTATTCGAAAAGATCAAACACCCTGGATGTAAAACATCAGACAATAGTAATATAGAGCGATTGTTTATACGGCGCCAAAAGAACGTTGATCGTAGGATCGTGACGTCACAGAAGGTGAATTGGATCCGCCTACTTCCGGAGACGTGGAGACGTGAGTCATGGGAGAGCCACGTAGTCCTATGAGTCATAGACTGTCATAAGTTAATATGTTGACGTTTGATAATCCTGACGAAATTACAAACGGAATGATGACGTCAGAGAAAGGCCTTGTCATTGCATGGGTAGGGAATCATCGTGAAAATACCACAGGCTATGATGGTGAAATATAGAACAATTCTATGCCTATTTCATTGCTTTCGTTTGTCATGTTAATCAAGAGTAACCATGTGGAACAAGTCTGCCCAATTCAATGACACATTTATTAGAAGCATTGATTGGAATCAAAACTTTTTCATTTAAACAAATATGCACGAGTTTGGATTTGGAAATAGGCACCCTTAAATAATAAAACACAAATGCTCATTGACATAAGTAAGATAAAAATCCAAATTTTGTATGAAGATAATGTATGATCTCGTGGGTTGTCTGGATCTCAAACTGACCATCTGCGGCACCAAACCATTACCTTCCGACCATTTCAACCTCCTAGTAAGTTTTACACTTCGTAACATTCAATAACATGGTATCGTCGGACCAGTATAAATCGCAAATTCATGAAAAGTATTATATGTAAAATTACATACAAATCTAATATTCTGGTCTAAAACATCACCAAATGAAACACTCACGTTGGAAAGCGTCAACATTTGACAAAACGAAACCATCAAATTAAAACGTGTGACCACTACACCAAATATAACTATTACAATGGAAAGTTTGACCATCACCTCAAATATAACTATAACAATGGAAAGTTTGACCATTACATCAAATATGACTATTACAATGGAAAGTTTGAACATTACATCAACAATGACTATTACAATGGAAAGTTTGACCATTACATCAAATATAACTATAAAAATGGAAAGTTTGACCATTACATCAAATATAATTATTACAATGGAAAGTTTGACCATTACATCAAATATAACTATAACAATGGAAAGTTTGACCATTACATCATACATAACTATTACAATGGAAAGTTTGACCACTACATCAAATATAACTATTACAATGGAATGTTTGACCATTACATCAAATATAACTATAACAATGGAAAGTTTGACCATTACGTCAAATATGACTATTACAATGGAAAGTTTAACCATTACATCAAATATAACTATTACAATGGAAAGTTTGACCACTACATCAAATATAACTATAACAATGGAAAGTTTGACCCATTACCTTAAATAGAACTATTACAATGGAAAGTTTGACCATTACATCAAACATAACTATTACAATGGAAAGTTTGACCACTACATCAAATATAACTATAACAATTGAAAGGATGACCGTTACCTTAAATATAACTATAACAATGGAAAGGATGACCATTACCTTAAATAGAACTATTACAATGGAAAGTTTGACCATTACATCAAATATAACTATTACAATGGAAAGTTTGACCATTACATCAAATATAACTATAACAATGGAAAGTTTGAGCATTACATCAAATATAACCATAACAATGGAAAGTTTGACCATTACATCAAATATGACTATTTCAATGGAAAGTTTGACCATTACATCAAATATAACTATTACAATGGAAAGTTTGACCATTACATCAAATATAACTACCACATAATGTCCGATGTACTTATTATGTAGGCAATATCTGTATATTTCCAAACAATACAAACAATAAATATTAATTTGTATGTAATTTACTACATATATTATATATTTTAAACATCCGAAGTCATTGGTAACGGTCAGATGCGTGATGTTATATCATTTCAATGTAGTACACAAGTGTGCCGATTGAAATAACGCAGTCAATCAGACACACTCCGTGTTTCCTTTTAGGGGATGTGATTTTAGATTCTGCTGAAGTGGGTTTTCCTGTTTTTCTTATCTTATTTACGTCCTGTTTATTTTCTATCTGAGTCTTCAGTCCTCGCTAGATATCTATTACTTCAATCATGTCATGTTATAATTAGTTTTATGCACTCGTGTATATACTCCTACACATGTTCATTTATGTATAATGCTGCACAATGAACGGAAACGTGTGATTAGTACATTGCAATATATACAACTATTAACAATGACTATTGAGTTATGAATTATGTATATTGAAATAAATTGACGTGACCTGTTACACACATTACAGATGTAAAAACGAAAGAAATATGTGATACATCTTTATTCAAAATCTTTCATTTTCAGACATAACAAGGATGCGAAAAAAAACCTCGAATTCTTTTATTTTAAATATGTAGAATTTTACCTTAAGACTACAAAATTGACACGAAAGCTCTCTAGAGAAAACAAGGCTAGTTAAGTAATTTAGTATCAACAGCCTAAACCCCTTAACTTATTAATATTGAGACAGGTGTTCGTTTAAGTCATATCATTCTCCACTCTTCACCAAAATTCATCTACATTAGTGACCTTGAGGTTGAGTACCGGTATCCTAGAAGTTGAATCCTAGCTTATTCCAGTAAATGCGTGCATACAAAATAATGTGTAAAATAATTGATCGAAGGGTATTTTGTATATTCAATGGACAGTAATACGGAAGATATAAATTTCATTTCTCAACAAACGCTGTGCTGTTTTGTGATAATACATAGGATACTATCAAATTCGTACTACTGGTCAAAGAATCAGTGTATGATAATGTATATCCAGAAATGGATGACCGGATATTTAAGACCACAACATATCTTTATTCTTATAGAACGAGCTCCCATTTCCTAATAAAAGGCGAATGGCGATATAAACATATCGTTGTTAACCAATTTCGACCTTCGTTTTATATATATTGAGGGGGGATAGATGTCAGTAACCAAGATGAAATGTAAATGAGGATGAAATCGTGAGAATACTTCAATTTCCTGATCGACGGTATTTCCAACAGACTGCTGGTATTCCCATTTCATATAAAACTAAATGAATTAAGGAAATTTCCAGGACAGGTTAAAAGAAACCTTGTCAGTTCCTTAATATCATTTTCATACATAACAAAGATGTGCTGTCTTTAAATAAATAACGATTCGGTCGTGAAGGTTGAAGCCCAGCTGCGTAACCTCAGACCTACTTGCAGCAACATATTGAAGACGCAGGTTAAGTTGTATGGCCCTTACCTCGGAATCCGAAAGTCTAACCTTTTTGAAATTTGACATGGTTATACAATGTGATATGTACAAGTGCAATAGGGATTTAAAAAATGCTTAAGGTTGAGGTCCTGTCCTTAGTTCGGACAGATATTTTACATTTGACATAGGGATACACTGTGATATGCAGATGTGCAAAAGAGTTTTTTAAAGTTTTTAAGGTCAAGGTAATTGTTACTTAAAAAATTCAGATTCTGTGCTCAAATACAGTTTCATGTTAAGTGTAAGAAGTGATACATCCATTAAAAGTCACATTTAATCAATAATTTGGAAGAATTGTGGTTTGGAAGTAATGTGGAGAGATGTACATGTACAGTCATATTCTGTTTTCAATTTTGACACACATTAACTGTGTGACACAAGTTGCTAATTAAATTGTGAATCGAAAGGCTTCAAGACCGCCGGAACGCCACGGTGTAATCTTTGCACAAAGGATGTACGCCTCGAGTAGACCGTATACTGTATTATCTCGAAATACATCTTTCGATTTGATTTAAAATCCTAACAGAGATAAATAATGAATACAAAAAACATTCTTCATTAAAGACATATTAATTATCATTTAACTGAATTGATTTGTTTGTGCATGTTGTCCAAAATATTTCATAAAAAAAGGCAGATCCATTTTATTGCATGCGAACCCAATGATCTAATGACCGGAACCACAGGGATCTCACGGACCAATGATCCGTTCACGATGATTCCCCACTCTTGCAATGACGACCTTTCTCTAAAGTCATCATTCAGTTTGTAATTTCGTCAGGATTATCAAACGTCAACGTATTACCTGTGTGATAGTCTTTGACTCATAGGACTACGTGGCCCCTTCCACGCAATGACATGGCCGTTCTCTGACGTCATCATTTTGTAATTTCGTCAGGATTATCAAACGTCAACGTATTAACTGTGTGACAGTCTATTACTCATATGACTACGTGACGTGGCTCTCCCATGACTAACGTCTCCACGTCTCCGGAAGTAGGCGGGGCCAATTCATCTGTGACGTCACGATCCTATGATCCACGTCTTTTTGGCGCCGTATAAACAATCGATATATACTGTTGACAACACCCCGATTGAGATAAAGAGCTTGGGTGAGAAATCGTGTCGCCTATGCCCATATAGATTGCACAATTTCTCACCCGGGTGAGAAATCGTGTCCGGGTGAGAAATCGTGTCCGGGTGAGAAATCGTGCCGTAACAACGTCCTATTAACAACTCAAGTAATTGCATGATATCCCTCTATGTGTATTATGTATGCGTGCTTGATTGTGTGTTTGGGGTAAGGTAAGCTGATGTTCTGGTGCTGAATTTTGAGTGCTACCTTAACCAAATACCATGTCTAAAGCACCTAGCAAAGTACTTCACCCGGTCACATGATACTGACAACAGGTACATCAGTTGTTGCCGCTACCCTTGATGCTGAACGTTAACCATTTTAAGGACTTTGTTTGTCCCGTCTGGGATACTTATTTTTTATCTTAGTCAAAATATGCCAAAATCAATACTAAAAAACCGGATGTGCATTCGATAAACGTGTCGACATTGCCGTCCACGCAATATAAGTATACAGAAGAACCAGTTCTTATGTTACAGACCTTTAAGTTTACTTTTTGTATTAGTATGAAATACCAACAAAAAAAGGCATGACCTATAGAACAGAACAAAAAAATCCCGTGAGTTAGAGTACATGACCACACAGTCCCGATACCTCGAATATGGGACGGAACACCTGTTTTAGTACCAACATTTCGGTGACCCCGATCATGTTACAGAAACGTTTTGACCGATAACATATTACAGAGCATTTCGAACTCTTCAGGAAATAAAAGACCTCTTGTGTTACAGCAAACTCAATGAAACAGTCGAAATGCAAAAATATGAATCCGGTCAGCTTTATATAAGAATAAATAAAACGCTGAATATAAACAAATTGAGTGCGGTGAATATTTTACAACGATCATGAAACAAGTTATGATAACTTATATCAATCACTCTTGTTGGCCCGTTGTTAGCGCGCCGGGATTCTTTATGTGGGAAGAAACCAGAGTACCCGTAGATAATCCATGTGGTCGGGAAAGTGAACCCATAACTTTTCACATCCGATCGGGGAATCGAACCCCAGCAGCCTTGGTGAAAGGCGAGCGCGTTATCTACTGAATACGATAGCCCCCATCCTCGTGATAATACGTGTTATAACCGGTAATTCCGACGGGGATGTTAGTTTCATTTATTCGATGAGCACGCGATGGAAAATATTAAACTAAGTAATAATATAGAACAGGTAAATAGTATACATAATATAACATACATTGCAACCAACCATTACATCATTGTTATAAACAAGCATGTTTCTATGCTATCACAATCAGACGTCAGGCAAATATGAACAAGCAAATTCGTGGAATTTATATCCCCCGCTTTCAGGACATATTGTAGGTAAACATTATTGAGGTTAGGTTTAAACATGTGAGTATCGTGCTCTAGAGACATAATGTATAGCTTGAAACTCGAAGAAAAAAGCCTTATCTAATATTTGCTAGAGTTATTAAGCGGAAACTGCAGAGAGTTAATGAACAGAAACGGAAGATAATGACGTTTTTCCTTGATCATGGGGCCATAACTCCGCCAGATGGGGTCCGCTGAAAGTGGTCATCAAACTTGATCGAGCCCTTAAGACTGTTAACCCTGGTACCAAGTTTGAAGAGAAACGGTTAACATTTGTTGTAGTTATTGCACGGAAACGAAGCGTGACAGACAGACAGACAGACAGACAAACCCACATTTGGTGAAAGCGGGGGATAATAAGATATCATGTTCATTTAAAAAGTTGTTAGGTCACCGAGTAACTCAATATCTTGCATCATTTGCTTCGCCTATATTTTCCATGCGATAAGTCAGTCGTCGGTTATACAATTTTTTATTTCCAACAGACATGTTAAATGAATGACATCAAACAAACGAAGCGATAAGAGAGAAAAACGTCAAAATAAAAATATAAATAGATATATTAAATTTTATCTTGTTGGCTGAATGTTGATGAGGTCTATAAACAGGTGTGTTTATGTAAATGATTCATGGATTGGTGTGCATTGAGGCTGATCTTTGCGTTTTGAAAAAAAAGAATGTGTAATATATGTATCATGTATGGGAGACGGGCAAGAACTCGTCCCGCGGGCTTTCTCTAGCTGGGATAACAGCCATTGATTCAGGGTTTACTGAGTAAACAATTGATTTCTACTCATCAGTTCCAAACTTTGTTATTGGCGAAATGGGCACAGACACCTATAATGTAACAGAATTATACATATGTACTAAATCATTAAGATCAGCTCATTGATAGCTCATTTCCTTTAAATAATTCACGAAAGATACCCCGATAACCTGGATGTTTGATAAATAACACAGAGATTATCGGATTCAAATAAAACACACAATTGTTTTAAACATGATGTTGTAGATAAAGATCGTGGGAAGAGGATGATGGTTGATTCAGCGCATCACAGTGTTGTGTTGATGTGTTCTGTTAATTATCCTTTCTATTGAATTATGACAACAATCTTTGGCCCGTTCCATTTATTTCAGACTATGTTGTAGAAGCACTATGTATGTGACTTGAAAAAGGCAGGAAAAAGAAAAATGGAATATCGAAATAAAAAAACAGCATACTGTTCAAGGGATATCCTTTCAGATTTGGTTTGGCTTGGTTTTATTTGATTTAACGTCCTATTAACAGCTACGGTCATTTAAGGACGTGCCTCCATGTGTGTTGTGTAAGCGTTCATGTGTTTATGTGTGCCGCAGACAAGGTTTGCTGGTGTGCTTTCAGATAGAAAATAATTAAACAAATAAATAAAACAACAAACACAACAACAATCCCCATAATGAAGACACGCATGAATTACAAAACACACCAGCGTCAACACAATTTACCTTATTTATTTTTGCCATTCGCAGCCCCACTGGTAAGCCGTATGTCTCATACGTATAACGGCCATACATGATCCCACCAAACACAGATATCGGTGATATATGATTGAATTTGTGGAATCCATCCTCGACTACCATATAGCCTGCAACAAGGGAGCTGTTTGGTATGCTAACGTAATCGATTGTTGAGGGGAAAGGCTCCTCATCAAGGCGAAGACCGGCTTTATCTTTGTCCTTCACCACAAACAAAAAGAAATTTTCATAGCTCCCGACCGTTTTCTTAGGAGTTGCGAATACATATTCTGCTGCGTATTGTTCTATTGGAGGAATCAAAATTAAGGCTGGATCATGATTATCCCTATTATATTGACTCTTCACGAAATAACCAATAAAGATGCTGTTGTTGGCGACTATATAACAGTATGATTTCGGGTTCATTTCTACAAGTTGATAGCTTCCTGCTTTGGCCAAGAGGATTTTATCAGATGTAATCATAGAGGTACTACTGATGCATGTAAAGTCAACTTCAGTAGCGTCCGTGTTTCCTATAACCTTGAAGAAGTCTCCAACAGCTCGTTCTGGTATAGGAACGATCACGAACCGTTTGCCCCACCTGTCTGTAGATATCAGCTGCTCTACTAAATGGTCACTACTACCGGCCGCCCCAACAACTGCTCTAACATTTCCACTGAAAAATGCGACAGGTTTGTCCGATTTAAGATATGCCCCGGTCAAGTCATAATACCCCTCAGTCTGGAGCTGCAGTGCGACACACCGATTCAAAGTAACAGTCAATGTTTGTCCTCCATAATAATCTTTCCCGTCGAAACTTACGTGGTCAAAATCGTTGCTATCTGGAAAGGTGATCTCAACTTGTGTTCCGTCAACGGTAGCTACCACCATTAACTGGGCATATTGAGGAGGAGTCCTCAATTTAACTGTTGGGAGATATGACACTGCATAATATTCATTTCCTAAAACGTCTACAGGAAGGCCAAGAAAGGCATCGTTGGTATTGTGTTGTCGGTTTACTCCATAGACGATGACTTCGTCTGTAGCCTGTATAAGAATTCCTTTGGGAGACAGAGATGTTCCCTTCATTCGTAGTTCTACGTCTATAGAAACCATTGTGGTATTTCCTCTGGAAATTTGAAAATGCTGGTTAAGGTATGCATTTCCAGAATATTTTGGAGTGCTCACTGTGACATTGACAAGGCGATCAACTATGGTTGCTACAAACAATTCGAGATTTTGCATATCGTCAGTGTTTTCCATAAAGGCAACAATGAACTCTTGACCTTGGTTATCAAACACACTTCCAAGCGATACTGAAAATGATTGAAAACAAAAAATTAAATGTTGCAAAGGTTATCTGTTTCTTTATAATCCTTCCAGTCATAAACATGTGATTGGTTTCTAATCTATCTTTGCGTTGGAGTCTTCTATATCTAGTAATTACAATAAACATATTCACCTGCGGGCTTTTCGGCTTGCTTAGTAGCAGCCACTATTGCTAACCCACTCACTAGTCGTTGTAACAGTTGTTTAATGAGTTATAATATAAAACATTAATGACGTCATGTTTATGTAAAACATAGATTGCAATAAGCAAACGTATCTCACAAGCACTTGCTGGCGTTTAAGTAACAAAAGCTATAACAAATCTCCGGGTTCGTGTATATAATAAGAACAAAGATAAGGAAGCTATTTTATTGTTAGCTGCTGTTTGCCGCTGTTGCCGAAAACGATCAGATGTATTTGTTAATTTATATTGAGTATTTTAATGATATTAATTCAATTCAATAACTGGATTTCTATTTAATCAAATTCAGATAAAAAAAAAAAAACACAGCGAGATTTGTATAACAAAGCCAGTAATACAACATTTAACGCCCCTGTTGGAGGGAATACTGATTATTTGTCCCCCATTCGCCGTCGTCAAGCGTGAGTAATTACGAAAAAACAAAAGATTCCTTATCGTGAACAAGAACTACAGCACAACAAGCAAGATGATTATGCATACATATTTCACACATCATTGACAAAACCCATTGTCTTTATCACCTGGACGAACGTTCAACGCAACGGCCAAACGTTAGATATTGTCCAGGAATGCAATAGGAAAAAAAGAAATTTTAAGTAGAGAGAAATATGACATTTCATTTTGGTCATGCTTGTATCCTGAAGTAGGAGATGCAGGTCTAGTGACCATTGTAAATGTGCATTCTCGTATGCTGAAGTAGAGGATGCAGGTCTAGTGGCCATTGTAAATTTTGATGCCTGTATGCTGCAGTAGGGGATGTAGGTCTAGTGACCATTGTAAATGTTCATGCTTGTATGCTGAAATAGAGGATGTAGGTCTAGTGGCCATTGTAAATGTTCATGCTTGTATGCTGAAATAGAGGATGTAGGTCTAGTGGCCATTGTAAATTTTGATGCCTGTATGCTGCAGTAGGGGATGTAGGTCTAGTGCCCATTGTAAATGTTCATGCTTGTATGCTGAAGTAAAGGATGCAGGTCTAGTGGCCATTGTAAATTTTGATGCCTGTATGCTGCAGTATGGGATGTAGGTCTAGTGACCATTGTAAATGTGCATTCTCGTATGCTTAAGTAGAGGATGCAGGTCTAGTGGCCATTGTAAATTGTGATGCCTGTATGCTGCAGTAGGGGATGTAGGTCTAGTGACCATTGTAAATGTGCATTCTCGTATGCTGAAGTTTGAGGATGCAGGTCTCGTGGCCATTGTTAATGTGCATGCTCGTATGCTGAAGTAAAGGATGCAGGTCTAGTGGCCATTGTAAATGTTCATGCTCGTATGCTGAAGTAAAGGATGCAGGTCTAGTGACCATTGTAAATGTTCATGCACGTATGCTGAAGTAAAGGATGCAGGTCTAGTGGCCATTGTAAATGATGGTGCGATAGAAGCGTAATTAATTCTTTCTTTTTTCACGCAAAAATGGTTAGCACAAAAAATCGTTAAAATTAGAACTCCAAATAAAAATAACTTAATCCGTACAAACGAAAAATAATAGAATAATAGAAATATAGCCGGATATATAACGCATTATTTTGTCATTGAACAAACTTTGGTTTGGTTTGGTTTAGGCTTGTTTAACGTCCTATTCACAGCTATGATAATTTATGGACGGCCTCCCCTGTGTGCGAGATGCATGTGTATAGTGTATGCGTGTGTGTTTTGGGAGGCTGCGATATGTTCGTGTTTGTCTCCTTGTGATAACGCGGAACTGATGCCGACTTTATAGTGCTACCTCACTGAAACATACTGCCGAAGACACCCAGCAGGACACTCCATCCGGTCACATTATATTTACCAACATATAGCACAACACGTTTTATCGCACATAACGGTTGGCTGTTTGATACGGTTTATATTGCCAGCTAAGGTAGTTTAAGGACGTTCTTTGTATGTGTAATGTATGATGATGCATCATCGCAAATAACACACGTTTTATAACATACAGCGCAACATGTAAGACACGCCACGTTTAGTTTTATCAGGTGTTATAGCATACAAGTCAACATGTAGGCGCGGTAGCTCCACTTGTTCCAGTCTACTCAGCTGTAAATGAGTACGTGGTTGGGCAGAGCTCCCCAGGGAAAGAAAGATATTGACTGGTTGCCCTATAACCACGGAAAATAATTTGTGAACCGCTTTGAGACCACCTACGAACATGTCAAGTATTATTTAGTTAAGCATCCTATTAATAGCTCAGGTCAGTTAGGAAAGTGCACCCAAGTGTGTAATATACGTGTATATGTGTATGTGTGATGGAGACGAAGAGGTTAGCGCGGATCAGATGCCGACTTTATAGTACTACCTCACTTAAATACATATAATACCAACAACGAATAATGTATTAACCCCTTAATAATGAACGTTAAGCAGAGTAGCACGTGTAAAGGGAGCATATGTTGTATAATGTTGCTTTTTTCCAGGGCTGTTGAAAGATCTTGAAATTGAACTGATTTTTGAAATTGTACGAAATAGATTTGTATTATACATGTTATACCACTATTGTAAACGTTATGTTATTCTCCGTGCTTTTACTGCCAAAAAGGATGATGGAATACACAATGTTCTGGGATGCTGTGGTAACTCGATTATGACAATAATAAGTCCTTATACTACCTACGCCCTCTTCATTATAAATAGCATTTGGTTTTAACCTGTTGAACTTACGCAGTGATCGTGTAAGAAACAACTTTGTTTAATGGACCTGTCTTGTTTGTTATGTTGTAAAAATTAATTAGGGAAGGATTGTCTAAAAATAATGGACACTTTGCTTATTCAGTATTGTCGGCATTCTTGATACGCTGTCGTTGTAACTATAGACCTTCCTATTAATTGATATACTCATGAACTCATTATTATTTGTTTACCAGTAGGTTGTCACTAAATGTCTTCCTATATCAGAAATACAATGCCAGCATATAATGATTTAATGATCTGGACTAAAAACAATCGTTATGTAGAATGAATTATTTCAAACTGTGGCTAAAACTCAATAATATTTAATTAAAATTACAATGTACAGAAGCTATGAAATAGACATGTGCTTAAAAGTGTATTGATTATTTTGTCCTATGAAGCATACATTGCTTTTCAGAGATAATATTCTCAATATATTTCTTGTTGAGCATTCATGAAAAGGTATTCTAAATGGTATACATGTATTTATAGAAAAAACGTAAAGCAACAATTTGACTGCAAAACCAATTTTGTTAATTAAAAGTAAATTATGACATCAATGACGAAATAATTACACTGCCAAACTCAGTGTTTTATGAGTGTCTCTTCGACAAGCGGAGAAATATTTTATCTATAGTATTTAACTTCTCATGTACGAGGAAATGTATATTACACACACAACGATATTAAGAACATTTATAACTATGGAACGTGGCGCCACGACTGTCTTTTTTCATTGTCTGTATTATATTGGATTAAACATATCATTTTGTTGGGTGGACATGTCATAATGTTAAGTAGACATGTCGTTATGTTGAGTGGACATGTCGTTATGTTGAGTGGACATGTCATTATGTTGGGTGGACATGTCGTTATGTTGAGAGGACATGTCGTTATGTTGGGTGGACATGTCGTTATGTTGAGTGGACATGTCATTATGTTGAGTGGACATGTCATTATGTTGTGTTGACATATCGTTATGTTGAGTGGACATGTCGTTATGTTGAGTGGACATGTCGTTATGTTGAGTGGACATGTCATTATGTTGTGTTGACATATCGTTATATTGAGAGGACATGTCATTATGTTGAGTGGACATGTCATTATGTTGAGTGGACATGTCATTATGTTGAGTGGACATGACATACTGTTGTGTTGACATATCGTTATGTTGAGTGGACATGTCATTATGTTGAGTGGACATGACAGTATGTTGTGTTGACATATCGTTATGTTGGATTAACATATCAAGATGTTGTGTTAGCATGACATTATGCTAGGTGGACATGTTGTTATGTTAGGGTTGACATGTCATGTTGTTGGGTGGAAATGTTATTATGTTCGGTTGGCATGTCATTATGTCGAGTTGACATATCATGATGTCCGGTTAGGATATCATTATGTTCAGTTGACATATCATTATGTTGGGTGGACATGCCGTTGTTCGGTTGACATGTCATTATTCTGGGTAGACATGTTTTTTATGTTGGGTTGACATGACATGCTGTTCGGTTAACAACATCAGTTTCAACTCAACATGGTGTTGCGTTGAAACTATATAACATTGAGTAATAATGGTATGGTGTCTAGTGGTATCGCCATGTACTTGCCTTAATATCCTATAGTGTTAAGTCGAAAAAGTGTAATGTCGAGTAGTCATGTTATGTCGTTAGGGGGATCGTAATGGCGTTGAGTTGAAAAAGCATCATGTGGAGTATTCATGCTATGATGTTGAGTATTCGTGCTATGTTGTAGAGTGATTTCATCTTGCTCAAAGATACAACACAGTGCCGTGCCGTGACTCGAACCCGCAACCCTTCGGTCACGAGCCCGGCGTCCTACCACTCGACTACCATGAGATGGATGTGCTAGGTATCAAAAGCAAAGATGATATGGCAAAGACTTACAAATGAATGCA